GATCTGGGCATGCACCAAAGCCCCATTACACTTATTTATAGCCTGACATAGTGACAAAGCACTGTGCATACATGAGCTTATTTGATCTTCACAACAAAATATTATTATCCCCCTATCCTGGAGGCAAAGAGTTGGTGCAATGGATGGAGCACTGGGCCTGAAGTCAGGAAGACCTGAGTTCAAATCTATTCCTAGACACTTATTACCTATGTGGTCCTGGGCAAGTCATTTAACCTCAGTTTGCCTTAGTTTCCTCATCTGAAAAATAGGGATAATAATAGCACCTGCCTCCTGGGGTTGTTATAAGGATTGAAATGAAACAAGATAATAATTGTAAAACACTTAACACAGGGCTAGCACATAGTATATACCAAAGCAGGAGCTTGTCCCTAAACCTTCATTGGGTAGGAATGAGGGGAATCCTTACTGTGCAAATGTTAGCTGGTTTTGTTAGTTGTCTGACCCTGGGCAAGTCACTTAACCTCTGCCATCTCATTTTCCTTAATTATATAATGAAGATAAGAGTAGCCCTTATCTCACATGGTTGTTGTAAGGATCAAATGAGATGATTTTTGTCAAATGCTTAGCATAGTGCCTGGCATTAGCAGGTGCTTAATGAGTCCTTTTTTCCCTTCCTTCCTTCCTTTCCTTCTTCCCTCCTTCCTTTCCTCTTTCTTTCCTTCCTTCCATCTTTCTTTCCCTCCTTCCTTCCTTCCCTTCTTCCTTCCTTCCTTCCCTCTTTCTTTCCTTCCTTCCCTCTTTCTTTCCTTCCCTCCTTCCTTCCTTCTCTCTTTCCTTCCTTCCCTCTTTCTTTCTTTCCTTCCTTCCTTCCTTCCTTCCTTCCTTCCTTCCTTCCTTCCTTCCTTCCTTCCTTCCTTCCTTCCTTCCTTCCTTCCTTCCTTCCTTCCTCTTTATAGAAGGAGCAACTGAAACTCAGATTTGCCCAAAATCATACAATGAACAATCAGTAGAAATGGAAATGGAGACCAGGTCTTTCTAACTCTAAGTCTTGTTCTTCCCTTCACCGCTATGGGGAGCTAATTTCCCTTCAGGGATTGCATGAATTAAAAAGCATTTATTAGGCTATTACTAGGTACAAGACACTGGGATACCAAGAGAAAAGTAAGACAATTCCTGTTTTCTAGTAGGAGGAGATGTCACACAAAGGACGTTTCAGTTTCAAGTCAAATGGAAAGGTCTAGTGGTCCTTAGAGTGCAACAGCAAGGCAGATGGTAATATATCTTCTTTAGTGGCATTTTCATTAATAAAACCATATCGGTCCTGATGCTTATCCATTAGACAGCGCCAAGGACTTTGGTATTGAGAATTTGTTTTTCCAGGTCTTCTGCGGCTGCTGCAGAGGCACTTGTCAGGTTGCATCCAGGGTTGCTTCTCTGGATGATAGCTGTTGGGTGATGCCAGAAGCAGGGTCGATGGTATGGTGGGGGAGCAGGGACGCTGCTCTTCCCTGGGCGCTTTGGCTTACCTGCCTATCGTTGGTGACTGGTCAGTAAATGCATATAGGTGGTAGGGGGATTGGAGGGCCCCTTCTCCAAAGAGGCTGTTTCCTTCCTTTTAATACGGAGGTTGTGCTAGAAGCAGAGTCAATGGGGAGAGGATCCATTGGGTTTTTTTAAAACTTATTTGAGCTGCTAAATAGTCTAGAAAAAAAAACTAGGAAGTAATCCTCGGCAATAGTGGTCCAGGAGTGTATCGAGCCCAGGGTGATGCCTACGGATGTGTGGGACCCAGAAGTGTATATATGGCAGCATATATCCAGCATCACCAAATTTCAGAGCTGGAAGGAACTTCAGCAGCTATCTACTCCGGGGGTGGGGAACCTGTGGCCTCGGGGCCACATGTGGCCCTCTAAGTCCTCAAGTGTGGCTTTTTGACTGAATCCAAACTTCACAGAACAAATCCAGGTCCTTTGGAACCTGCCTCTTGGAACAATACATCTGTTTGGCATGGACAATCTTTTACAATCAGTCAGTCAGGAAAAGCGTCTCCAGACATTTCACATTACACCCTTATACACACTCTGAGCTCCAGCCGAACTGTCCTTATTGCTGTTCCTCGTATACACCAGTCAGTAGATAGGTTGTGTAAGGATTTCTTGTGTTTGCATAGGGCGTTTGCATAGGCTGTGCCTGGAGTACTCTTCACTTCCTTGTTTTGTAATCCCTGGATCCTTTAAAGGCTCAACCTAAGTGCCACACAAATTAAGACTTTTTCTGATCTCCTCAGTTGTTAGTTTCTTCCTGCTCCCCCAAATTATGTATGTACATACATATATATATATAATATATATATACTTGGTACAGATTCTTACTTAGCTGTGTACGTGTTGTATCCCCTCCCTATCCCTGCCTCCTCCATGTAATATAAGCTGATATTGAATCGGGTTTTTTTTCTCTTTGTATCTCCAATGGCACTATGATTTGTATATATCCAATGTTTAATAAATGCTTCTTGAATCAAATTGAATGGAATTGAATTACAAAAAGGCAAAATACATCTGAGAGATGTATGTAGAAGTAGAAAGGGATCATGGAATGATCTAGTTTACCTTGGCAGTGCTGACTAGGGCTACAGGTATGTTGGGGACACACACCCACACACATACACACAGAGTTTATATATGTGTGATATATATATGCATGTGTATATGTACATGTGTACATATACATTTTATATGTTTGTGTACACACACACACACCTAGTCTTGTTTAGCACTAGATGGAAGAACTCCTTCCTTTCCCATTGTCCCAGCCCTATAGTAAGAACCCTCCTCCTATCTTCCCAAGTGGAGGTCTAGGGATAAGCTCCTGCTTTGCTGTATTGTAGGGAAAGCTTTGTCTGGGAAAGTAAACCAAGGCTGTGAACTCAGAAACATTGAGAAAAACTGGAAAGGAAATAGGTTTAGTGCTCCCCCGGTGGAGACAGTTTCTTTCTCATCATCCAGGCTTCCTCAGGAGAGGAATTCACCCTAAAAGACATCACTGAGGTCATGAGTTTTCCTGTTGTCAACCCAAATTTATGGTATAGCGTCAGCTTTCACAGAGCAGCCCTTCAGCTCCTACACTCTGCCCTTTTCTGCCAGCAGCATCCGCCCACCTCCTGCTCCCTGCAACATCACAGCAGCTTCTCATGGCCCCAGTTCTGGACTTGGGAGGGAGTGGTTTCGTCTCAAATTCTGTGATTCTAACTGTAAAGGGCCAGGATTTGTTCTAACAGACTGGCACCTGTCTAACCAGATGGGAATATCTTCTCCAAAGTAAGTCTCTGAGTTCTGGAGACAATAAAACTGCTAGGTATACTGCAATCAATAAACATTTATTAAATTTTTTCCGTCTTCTAAGAATTGAGTGAGGCACTGAGGATACAAAAACAAAAATTAAACTCAAGGAGCTTACGTTTTAAGGGGAGAGACATGCAAGTATATATAAAACAGATATATACAAAATGAATGGAAGAGGGAGGTGCTAGCAGCAGTTGAAGGTTGGGGATGGGGAACAGTCAAAAAAAGACTTCATTTAAAAGGCAGCCCATGGGTTGAGGTTTGAAAGAAACTAGGCATTCTAAAAGGTGAAGGTGAGAAGGAAGCCCCAGTATTTCAGGCATGGGAGACACAAAGGCACAAAGGCACAAAAACAGGAGATGACATGTTATATGTGAAGAGCAGCAGAAAGGTCAGTTTGATTGGAGTGAAGCATGTATATAAAGGAGTAATGTATAATAAGATTGAAAAGGTAGGTCAAAGCTAGGGTATGAACAGTTTTAAATGCCAAACAGAGGAGCTTATGCTTAATCCTAGAAGTAATAGAGCAATGCACCAGAATTTACTGAATAGGGAATGTCACTTTGGGAGTTGTGCGGAGGATGGAGTGAGGAGAGGAGAGTCAGGGAGACCATTCTGGAGGCTATTTCTAGTTCAGGTGAGAAATGATGGGGGCCTGAACTAGGAAAATGGCCAGAAGTATTCAGATGTAAGGTATGTGTCATTAAAATTGGCAAGACTTGGCAACTGCTTGGATTTGAGGGATAAGGAAGAGGGAGGAGTTGAAGATGACTCCAAGGTTATGAACCTGGATGACCGCGAGCATGCTGGAACCCTCCACAGTAACAGAAAAGTTCAAAATAGGGATTGCTTTAGGAAGAAAGATAATGAGTTCTATTTTGATCATGCTGGGTTTGAGATGCCTGTAGGACAACCAGTTCAAGGAAGGAAGGAGACAAGCATTTATTAAGTATCTCCTATGTGTCAGGCACTGTGCTAAATACTTTACAATATCTCCTTTGATACTCTTCACTACAAACCTAGGGCGGAAGGGGTGTTATTATCTTCATTTTACAGCTGAGGAAACTAACGAAGTCAGAGGCTGTCACTTGACCAGGGTTGACAGATAATAAGCGCTGGAGGTTGGATTTGAACTCAGGTCTTCCTAACTCCAGACCAAATACTCTATCCACTGTACCATCTGGCTGCCTCTAGTTTAAAAGGGCAATTGGTGATATGATACTGGATCTTTGAAAAGAAAAACTAGGACTGGATATATAATTAAGGCAGTCATCTGCATAGAAATAATAATTTGATTCACGGGAATGGATGAGTCAACAAAAAAGTACAGAAAAAAAAGAGAAAAGTCTGGGGACCTATCCTCAGTTAGGTGGGGTGATGTGTGTGTGTGTGATCATGCAACAAAGAAGAGAGCTCAGACAGGTAAGAGAAGAACCCAAAAAGTGTAGTGTCGTGAAAATCCAGAAAGACAAAAGTATTCGATAATGTGGTCAACGATGACAAATGATACAAAGAAGTTAAGAAGGATGAGGGAAAAGGCCATCAGATTTGGCAATTAAGAAAACACTGGTAACTTTGGAGAGAGAAGTTTCAGTCAAGTGATAGATGAGGTCAGTAGCCAAATTGCTAAGGACTGAGAAGTGAAACAAAAGAAAGGAAGTGAAGGCAATGAGTACAGACAGTTTTTTCCCTAGGAGTTAGGCTGCGAAAGAGAGGGAAAATGAGAAAAATTGCAGGAGGGGATAGTAAGGTAAGTGGATTGTTTTTGTTTTTAAAGTAAGGGAAACCTGGGCTCATTTGTAGGCAACAGGTACTATTATATAGTGAGAAACTGAAAATTGGAAAGATTCAGGAGATAATTGTTGGGACAATCCGCCAGAGGAGATAAAACAGAATGAGATCAAAGGTACAAGTAGAGGATATAGAATTAACAAAGAGTCAACTGTTCTTCGACCGAGCGTCTCAAAGATGGAAAGAAAAGTCCTATATATGTCCAAATATTGGTAGTGTCACTACTGCGTCACAAGAAAGAATGAGTATGAAGAATTCAGTGAAATGTGGGGACCTAAGTGAGCAGAAGCAGAAATACAATAAGCATAATGAGAATAACAATGTAAATAGAAAGAACAATACAATTAAACTCACCTATATAATTATAAGGATCCAGCTTGGACTAAGAGAAGGATTGGGAGAATATAATTTCCTCCCTTATTAAAGAAGTAGTGGCGCTCAGGTTCTTAAAATCTAGCCATGAGTTGAATTCATTTGGACAGGACACATGGGTTGTGATTTTGGGGTCCCAGCACCCCTGAACCTCTAAACCTCAACAGTACCAAATTATTAGAGTTAATACAAGTCAGTGAGCTACAAAAGTGGAAGGTGACACATACTATTGGTTGCTATCATTCCTTTAGGTGGTTTTGTTCAACTTTTTCTGAGGAATGCCCTTTATTGGAAAGTATGAGTATTTATTATAAATGTTTGTGTGTCAAAACAAAATTGTGGGTTTGTTGTTTGTTTTAAGAATAGGTGCTAGAACACAGCTCCATATGACATATTTAAGTTTAGAATCCCAAGTGACAAAAGACTTTTCTGGCCAACTTTAATTTTAATAGTGGTGTTATGATACAGCTAAAATTTATATCCAGGTGTGAACAGGTTTAACAATAAGAATAGTAATAAGAAGAAGATCAATAACAATTCACATTTATGTAACACAAGCAGAATCTAGGTTTTGTAAATTCTAAATATTGTAATATGATTATACATGTATGGCCTATATCAGATTGCATGCTGTCTTGGGGGGAAGGGGAGGGAAGGAGAAAAAAATTTGGAACTCAAAATCTTATAAAAGTGAATATTGAAAATTATCTTTGCATGTAATTAGAAAAAAATTAAAAAGAAGTGGTGCACTATGGGTGTAGAATATTTCACATACTACCTGACACAGTAGATGTGTTGATTAATTTTGAGCAACTATCTTTTTTCCTCCTCTTTCTTTTTAAAATTTTGTTACAAGAGATGCCTCAATGAAAAAGGAAGAAAGGAAGGGATACATTAAGCTATGTGATATGAAAATTAAAAAGAATTTTTTTTAATAAATCAAGACAAGTCTACAGTGAGGATACCATTGCAGATATTATCCAGTTCAAGGAAGGAATGAAACAAGCATCTATTAAGCACCTACTGTGTGCCAAGTGCTTTATAAATGTCTCATTTGGTCCTCACAACAATACTGGGAGGTAGGTATTATTACTACTATTATTATTATTGTTGTTACCACCCCCATTTTATAGAGTGGGAAATTTAGGCAGACTGAAGTAAAATGACTTGCCCAGGATTACACAGTTAGTGTCTGAGGCTATATTTGAATTCAGGACTTCCTGATTCCAGATCCACAGCTCTATCCACTCTACTATCAGCTGCTTAACATCACCTGAAGGGTAGGGTTGGGTGACAAGGGGATGGGAAAAAGGGACAAAGACAAACTTCACCTACTTCATAATTTTTCCACTGATGGACCTATTTCTATTTTTCTAACTTTGCCATAGAAGCATACAAATTGCCATGCTGTCTCAAGTCCATAGTCCATCCAATCTAGTACTCTCTGAAAATGGAGACAGGAAATGTATTATGGGAAGTTGTTATTGTCTTCCCTGGCATCAGAAAAGGTTAAAGATCTCTCCAAAGCATCCTGGTATTTCTTAGTAACCTTTATTGACTGTTCATCATAAGTTTGTTTAACTTTCAACAAATATTTACTAAGTATGTACTACGTGCAAAGGTAAATTAACTTAAATATATGTTCAGTCTATATCACCTCCAGGGAAATATGTTCCTAAAGCTTGCCACTTACTGAGTAAAGTAGGCATTAATATTATTTGCCTTTATTATACTCTTTCAGACTTCAGGAACTGATCCCTCATCCTTTTCAGATTTCAATAACATCCTCTCTTTGTTTTTATTTTCCCAGACAGATTCTCAACTATTTTTAGTCTCTCCTCCCTCAGATTCCAAAGTTGTACTATTGCTGTCACGTATGGCTCCATATCTGTTATATTGACATGGCTCTTATTTAGAGGGACCTCAGGGGTCAAGTCATGGGACCTTTAGAGTTTAAAGGGACCTTAGGTGTCATCTAGTCCAACTCCCCGCATAATTCAGACATATCTGCAACATTTGGACAGGTGGCCATCTGTTTGATCACTCCCTCATTCTTTCACTTACACGTAACACATTTAATTTAGCAGCATCTATGTTCCAAAACACCCTTTGACTTACTTACACAGATACAGCTTGCCCTCTATGATGAATGACCTCACTGGCTGATTTGCCAAATACAATCTGAAAATTAAACTAGAACTGACTCAGATCTAGGTTATTCAGATTCCAACTTAGGTGGCATAATGGGTAAAGTGCTGGCCCTAAAATCAGGAAGACCTGAGTTAAAATCTGGCCTTAGATACTTACTAGCTGTATGACCCTGGGCTAGTCACTTAACCTCTCCGTGCCTCAGTTGCCTCATCTATAACAGAGGGATGATAATAGCAGCTGCCTTACAGGTTTATAGTGAGGATCAAATTGGATAATCTCTGTAAAATGCTTCACACATTGCTTGGCACATAATAAGCCCTTAATAAATGTCTGTTTCCTTTCTTCTGTCCAAGCATAGTAGCAAACCAGGCCATGAACAGCATTGAAAAAATAAACATGTATTCAGGATAGAAAGGAACAGTAAAACAAAAAGCAACCATAGCCCATACTTCTGGTGAGTAGCTTCATTCCTTTTCTCCCAAGAGCTTTTTGGGGCTTGCCCCTCCTTACCAGGACCATGTTAATAGCAAAGGCTTGAGCAGTTTCTCTGCAACTGAGACAGAAGACTGGAAAATTCCTTGAAAGCAGCTCTAACGTCCCTGGTTAGAACCCAGATAGTTTCAACCCCTCTGTGAAAGCAAGATGAGTCTTCTCACTCTGTGCAGCCTCAGGCATCCCAGAACTCTTTAGCTCCTGGATACCCCCGTTGTCGTCTGCAATGAATGCACTTTGCTCAGGGACCACCCCTAGCTTGATCTGCTTCCTGTAGCCCTTTGTTTCGTTCCACCAATCACCAGCTACACTGCAGGCACACAGTCTCATGGAAAATGGAATCTTAGTTGTCCTCAGTGATTATTCTAGGGCCAGGATTCCTAGAAAATGTAGTCTTTTTTCCTTCGGGACAAATCTGTTACAATAGTAATATCCCCATTAAGAAATACGGGGTATTTCAAGAGCACACTTTGTTACCAAACATTTCATTCAAACAATATTGGTATAGGGTTGCATACCATAATGTGGATTTCCTTTCTACTGTGCTTGAGTGCCGTGGGGATGGTCCCTACCAAATGATACATGTAATACCTTCATAATAACAGTTCAATTTAAGCATTGGGGCAACATCTCGGCTCCTAGATCTCCTTGGTTCCCTCCTCTTTGGCTTTAGGGAGTTAATTATAGATGAGAAGTAGTGAGAGTAGTCACAATTGTTCTCAGTCTCCAGTTAGGAAAAACCTAAGCAGGGGTTGGGTCCTTTACCTAATTTTATATTTATATTTATCTACAGTTAGCCCCCTATTCTCTTTGTGGCTTAAGCAGAATTCGACTTAATGGAAACATTTGGATAACTAAACAGCAGATTACATTATAGTGTCTGCAGACAAACAGACGTGAGGAAGGAAATTGGGATCTTTCCTTAAGATGTTCCTCACCGTAGTTCCTCAGCTTTCAGATGCCTATGGAGATAATGACTCTTCTCAAGCTATTCTTTTCTACCATGTCTCTTTTCTCCCTTTGCTCCTCAAAGGTGCGCTGTAAATGCCATGCTTCTTTCAAATTCTCAAATCTGGACACTCAGAATCTTTTCCCAAGTTTTAAGATGGCTCCTTCCTTATACGTTGTTGTTCAGTCATTGTTCAACCCTATTCTTCCTTACATACCAGTGGCTTAGGGCATGTTACAGTCTCTCACACAATGACCTTGATTGATTCAAGCAGATGTACAGGTCCTGTTCACAGTAAAATGTCCTCACTTAGTCAAAGCACTAGAATGAAGTTGTTTCAGTCCCATCCTTACATACAGAATGCTGTTCCACATTTCTTTTAAAGGAAGAGAATTTGAATAGGGAACAGGGACCCCTGCCTTTCTTGGCATGGTTTTTCTACCCAGTGATGAGGAGCCTCTATATAGCCATATTTCAAGGTTTTCCACTTGCAGGTAAAAGAACTAGATAAGGCCCAAAAGTTTAGCTCTTTCCAAAGTTGGGCCTATACCTGAAATAATTCCATTATTCTTCTTCAGCATATAATATCAACAACTCATTAAGGAATCACTATATAATTCATACACTTGCTTCTATATTGCAATGTTTATGAGTTTTCTGTGTAGAAGAAAGATTAAGAGACAAGGAGAGGAACAATTAAGACCCATATTAATTAAAACTCTCATTAAAATGCTTATTGCTGAGAGATACTAGGTCTCAGTCTAGCTATTGATGACAACCAGCATTTAAGATTTGCAAAGCACACTCCATATATTATTTCATTTGATCTTCACAATAATCCTATAATGTAAGTATTATTATCATCTCCATTTTACAGATGAAGAAACCAAGGCTGAGAAAGGCTAAAGGATTTATCAAGGATTACACAGCTAATACGTTTTAGAGGCAGAATTCAGACTGAGGTTAAAGAACAGCTCCCCACCTTTTTGGCTGAA